AATTTTGACCACAAAAATCAAAATTTGAAAAAAAATTCAAAAATCTTTTTTTTTTTCAAAAAATCTTTTTTTGCCGTCGGTCTCCGGTGTTGACTTTTCGATTTTTTTCTCTTTTCTGGTCTGTTTTTTGTGTCGCCGGATTCCGGCGTTGACCTTATTAAGTGTTTTTTTTTACGCCCGCCGCTTAACGTTGACCGTAATTGTGCTGTCATTAATGGTAATTATACTGTCACTGATAGTAAATTAACGTAATTATACTGTCACTGACAGTACATTAACGTAATTGTACTGCCGTTGATAATACATTTATGTAATTGTACTGCCGTTGACAGTACAATTAGAGTCAATGACAATATTATTATTATTTTTTATTATTTTTTTTAATTTTGTTTGATTTGTTGGCAAGTCAACGTAATTATATTGCTGCCATTGATAGTAAAATAACTGTAAACACAATAATATTATTGTCAACCACATCAATACTATTATTTTTTTGGGTTTTTTTTTTGTTTTTTTTGAGTTATTCGTGGAGTAACGTAATAATATTACTGTCTATTATTGTAATATTATTGTAAACACAATAATATTATTGTGTTTGACGGTAATATTACTGTTGTTACAGTAATAATATTGTCACTCACAGTAGTATTAATTATTTTGACTTTTTTTTATGTTTACATTTGTTGAATGATCAACATATTAATATTACTCTATTACACAATAATAATGAGTTTTGTTGTGTTAATATTACTGTGGTAGAGATTAATATAGCAATATTAATGTGTTAAACTATAGTATAGTTAATTTTACTGTGTTTAACAGTAGTAATATGTAGTGTTTAACAGTAATATAGTTAATATTACTGTTAATCACAGCAATATTGTTTTTTAAACGGAGAAAAAAAGATGTTAAAGAAAAAGAAATAAATAAACGAAAAAATTAACGCCGGAAACCGGTGGCAGAAAAATCAGGAAGGAAAAAAAAAAGTCAACGCCGGAGACCGGCGGTCAATGGCGGTTGACCGCCGGTCATTGACCGCCGGTCTCCGGCGATGACGGGCGAAATTGTCCATAAAAATGTGTTTTGAGTCGAAATTGAATAATTTGTAAAATTTGGAGTCAAATTGAAGTTAATTAAATTAAAGGATGAAATTGGAGGGCTATTTTAGTCTTTTACAAATCTCTGAACCATGTGTGGACATTTTTGTAAAAGAGTTTATTATCTACATCTTTTTATGAATAAGTACCCATTGGTGAACTTATTTGTAAAGTGACCTTTTTTCAATCCCTCCGGTTCAGATTTGCAATAGACGTAATCATAAATTAAAACCTCATCAATTGTTGGGACCATTTCCAAAGCAAAAATCAACCCTTTAATACCATATGCAGAAGGAAATCAACCCTTCAAAAGAAAATAAGAAAAGTCTGAGTGCAGAAAAGACATTCACATATCAAAATGGCTCAGAGTATATTAAAAATAATTTATGCAGAAATACATTTTGTATCCGACAAATTAAAATAAAATCGTCAACGGACTAGCTAACAAAAATCCTATTGCTCTAAGACCTAGTATATGTATATATATATCAAGCACTATCTGCTCAAGTAAGAGGTGATTTCAATGAATAACTCCTCACTGCAAGGGATTGTGAGGCCACCCATCGGATGATGGAATCCGAATTCTTCTTCGGATTGGCATAGCAATTCTTGAAACGAAGGATGATTCAAATACGACAATGGAATAACAAAGCGCTTCTTTTGATCACTCTCCCCAACATAAACGACCAAATGACCTTTTGGAACTTCAGTTGATCTTCTTTCGTTGGATAAAGATCGTCTTAGCATTTGACGGATGGCCATTGTTGTATGAACTGAATCTTGTTTACCTCAAATCAATAAGTTTATTTGAAGTATTGTGAAAGATGAGAAAACTATATATAATATTATAAGAAGTTTTTGTTATTTGTAAATCAAGAAATGGTGTTGTATATATAGGCAAACAAGAATTGATGTATTCTCCAAAAATCTAGATGAGAGTTGTGAACATATGCAAATGGAGTCACATGGTTTTGTCTTTGAATCATCATAAATATTTTTGGGCAACAATAATTTGTGTGATCGAAAAAAATTGTATCCTACTAATTTTGATGTCCCTACTCGTCCTCGAATAATTGTAATCACATATCAAACTAAGTTACGTAACAAATAAAAGATAACATGGGCGAGTAACGAGTACATCTCATAATAAATAGATAATGAGAGACTTTTCTATTTGCTGCATTAATTGCAAGAGGAAACTTTAGCTGTTTGTTATCATATGCTGTAGGGTCGTTTAAGGGCCATGTTGGTGGAATGCAACATTTTCGATCAGAAAAATTCTTGTTTCCTTGAAATCATTATTATTCTGAAAGACAAATCCATGTGATTTCATATGCGTATGCTTCTCCGAGTTTCATAGGGCATCACCACATTTATGGTCACCACACTTATCTACATTATTTCTTTATAGCCTATATATACAACGCCATTTCTTGATTACAAAGATCAACAAGTCCTGAAAATACTCGTGCTTTCTCAGCTTTCACTTATTTCAAATACTTCCTCAAAGAGCTTTTTTTTATTATAAAAAAAAAATAAAAAGATGGCAATCTGCCAAATTTTGAGACGATCTTTATCCAGCGAAAGAAAATCAACTGAAGTTCCAAAGGGTCATTTGGCAGTGTATGTTGGGGAGAGTGAAAAGAAGCGTTTCGTAATTCCATTATCGTATTTGAACCACCCTTCGTTTCAAGATTTGCTGTGCCGAGCTGAAGAAGAATTTGGATTCCATCATCCAATGGGTGGACTAACCATTCCTTGCAATGAAGATCTATTTGTTGATTTAACCTATCATTTGAGCAGAACATGATATACATATGGATATATATATACGTGGTTAGGAGGATCACAATTTTGTAAAATTAGGTTTTCTTTCGAGAATGATTCAATCTTCTTCTTGTTTTCAAGAAGAGAAATGTATAGAAGCACAAAATTACAGTATATACATCAATCTTTAAGCCATTTGATTTGATAATACTAATTTTATATGAACTCAGCGATTCAAATCAATGTTCTGTTCTCTCTTATACATTCTGATATTATATTACATTAATTTTCACAATAGGTGACCTCTATCAGAAGCATACTGTTGGACAAGTCAAGTTTAACCAAGGGTTCAATATGTTATTTTCAAAGGCTTAAAACATAAAATTGTAAATTTTTTTAAGTACATTTTGAACTCATATTTCTACTTATCAATAAACAAAATAGTAAAACTTGAACTTGAATTATAGTAAAACTTGAACTTGAATTGTTGGGGCAATTTCCTAAAAGAAAATTAATCCGGAAAAAAAGAGGCGTATGCTGCTTGTATTGCGTCGAGCACACGGTAGGCGAAAGAATAGTTCCCTATGTGCTTACCGTGCAGCTGCTTAAATTTTAATGAAGTCTCTGGCCTTGTATTTATTCCTCTGGCTATAAACTCTTGTTAGGTTGTTTTCTATATGTGAGATACTTTTCTCTTGTTTGTAATATTTAGGAACACTTATTGTAATCCAAAAGTTGAGTTACATAACTTACATGAAACTTCACTAAATTGCCTTTGTCATACTTCCTTACATGGAAAGTATGACAACATACTTTTCTGGCAGTAACAACACTGGAAAAAAAAATAAAAAAAATCAGAGCGAGTATTTGAGAAAAAGAAGTGCAAAGAAACAGCAAAGTAATCGCTAACCATTTGCATATGTTGTGATCAAGATAAAGAGCTGATGATAAGAACTTCTAGATAGGTAAGGTATTAACATATCAAAATGGTTTAGAATAAAAAGAATCTTTTATAAATAAGATCAGTAATTTGTTCAGGAATACAGTTAGTACCCGACAATGTATCTTCTCCATGTCGAAAAAAAATAAATAAACAAATGTCCATGAAGTGGCTTATTAAAGTATCTTCTGTCTATACAAAAAGGAAAAAAAATGGGAAGGAACTAGCTAATGAAAATTCAATTGCGTATATATTATGCTCTGCTCAAGTGAGATGTGAGGTCGATAAATAAATCCTCAGTGCACGGAATTGCGAGTCCACCCATCGGATGATGAAATCCAAATTCTTCTTCAGCTTGGCACAATAGTTCTTGAAACAAAGGATGATTCAAATATGACAGTGGAATTACAAAGCGTTTCTTCTCATTCTCCCCAACATAAACAGCCAAATGCCCCTTAGGAACTTCAATTGATCTCTTTTCTGCCGATAAAGACCGTCTTAGCATTTTGTGAATGGCCATCGATTTTTCTTAAAAGTAAATCTTGGTGAGGCTGAAGATGAAAAGAAAGGAATGTAAGAGAGTTTTATTGGAGAAGTTGAGTAATAGAAGTTGGTTGCGAGTTTAGAAATGTGTCGTTGCACATGCATATATATCCTTGAAAGTGCAGCTGGATTTAGTGGTTACGAAGAGGCAAATGGATATGTGGTTAACTTGGAGAAACAAAAGCACATGATTGATCACATGATTTGTCTTCAAATCTTCACTTGATTTTAGAGCAACATATTGAACTGATTCGTCAACTGTTGAATATTTGTTGAAGAGCGCGACATAAGACCCTACAGCTTACGATAACAAACAACACAAATTAATCCCGGATTATATGTTTTCTAGCTGGAGGTGGTGGGTAAATACTTTATTGTGTTGCAATTAAAGCTTGTGAAGGCTTAAAGGACAAAACCATGTGATTCTTCATGTGCTTTGTTTCTGCACATATTATCTTGCTCCTTCATCACCACTCAATCCAGCTCAATTCTTAAGGCCTTTACAAGTGTATTTATATATATGTTTATACGACACATTTCTAAACTCAAACCAGCCTTCAAACATCAATTTCTCATATAGTTCACAAAATTCTCATAAATTCTTTCGTTTACATCTTCGGCATCACCAAAATTTATTTTAAACAAACTAACCAATGGCTATTCACAAAATTCTTAGGCGGTCTTTATCGTCTGAAAAGAGATCAAATGAAGTTCCAAAGGGGCATTTTGCTGTGTATGTTGGAGAAAGTGAAAAGAAGCGCTTTGTTATTCCACTATCGTATTTGAACAATCCATCATTTCAAGAATTATTGAGCCAAGCTGAAGAAGAATTTGGATTCCATCATCCGATGGGTGGACTCACAATTCCTTGCAGTGAGGAGTTATTCATTGATCTCACATCTCATATGAGAAGAGAATAGTATATATACGCAATAGAATTTTCGTTAGCTAGTTCCCTCTCATTTTTTCTTTTTTTCTTTTTGTATAGACAGAATATACTAATTTGTCGGATACAAAATGTAGTCCCGAACAAATTACCAATCAATTTTTTTGAGTACTCTGAGCCATGTTAAACTGATTTTTCTCAACAAAAATAAGTTAACTTTTTATTTAGTGTTCCTAAAAAACCGTAGGTTAAGAAATGATGTTGTGTATCTTACGTTCTGACTGCACAAGATTTGTTGTTCCAATATCATTTAATTACAAAACCTGCCACCATTTTAGAAACTGGTAAATCTGTTAGGGGAGAAAAAAATTTGTTTTCATGATACCATACTATTTTGGCTCAGATATAGAATCACACGTAGGAAAGAACTCCACAAAAAGTTTATGGTGAGAAAATCAAATTCCAAGGCAGGTACTTGGTGAAAATTAACTAAGTTGCGCAATGAGTACATAGCAACTATTCTTTCGCCTTTTTTACTAGGACTAATGTCAATTAGGCACGTGACTACGGACTTAAATGCATATAGGTCAGACAAAAAATAGTCTTGCAAATAAACCTATACCCATGTCTTTTGTCTCAAATGCTCTTCATAATATATTTTTTATCAATTCCATCTATTGTACTCTAACTTCCTCAATATTACACATTGACCCTAGATTTGAACATATATATCACATTAACCCCAATTTTCATAATTTTTGAAAACATCATATTTTTTACAAAAAATAATTTATTTTTTTATGATTTTTTTTCCGGCCAGATTCCCGTTGACCGGGCGGTTCTCCGGCGTTGAATTTTTTTTTTTAAAACATTTTTTTTTCTGAAATTTTTTTCCGGTCAGTCAACTGCCGGTCTCCGGCGTTGATTTTTTTTTAAAACTTTACTTTTTCTCTCTAAATTACTGTGTTTACAACAAAATTATTGACTGAGATAGTAATAATGAATACCAAAACTGTAATATTACTGTCCCACACATTAATATTATTGTCCCAAACAATAATATTATGAATATTACTTTCCCGAACAGTAATATTACTAATATATGTCCCAAACAGTAATATTATTGCATGAGACAGTAATATTACGGTCGGAGACAACAGTATTATGGTCGAAGATAGCAAAATTGCAGCCCAAGACGATAAAATTAATTAATACAATAAAATTTATATCTTCGACAGTTAAATTACTGTTGAAGACAGTAATTTAGCAGCCAAGACAGTAATATTACTTAAAATAATTTTTGTTTAAGAAAATATAAGTTTTCAAAAAACAAGAAGTCAACGTCGGAGACCGACAGTTGGCCTGCCGGAAAAAAAATTCCGGAAAAAAGAACGAAAGAAAAATGTTCATGCCGGAGATCAACGGTCTCCG